CCATCTGGTCGTCTCGCGATGGTCGCGACGCCGAAGGTGCTGCGATGCCGAGCAGGCCCCTAGGCCGCCATCGTCTGCAGCCAGCGCCTCGCAGATTCGAATTGCTGTTCTGTAATATCACTAGTCGGAATGCGGTTTCACTCTCTGTTGCCCAGGAGGTGAAACCGATATGTGATGGGTTCTTCTTTTGTGAATATCGGATGTCGATTGATCCCTGTAGGCTTGCTCAGAGAAAGTGTAATCAGATGAAGTGGCGCCCCCCACTTCACCCCTGCCACCCCATCCCCATTGGGGGGGGTCTGCATCGCGGTGGGGTTGGGGCCGTAGTGAGTAGAGGCTTGTCTCTTAGACGTTTCCTGTCATCGGATTCGGCCCTTCTGGGCCATGGCTCTGGAAGCCATTGGTTGTTTTTGCAGTTGAAAACCAAGCAAGCTGTTCTTGCTGTAGGTGTGTCTTATTTAGATGACGGCCTGGGTGTAAATGGGGTGAACATTGATCGGTTGCGTGCAATCTCTGAGTTGGTGGGTGCACTGACTGTTCCCTGGATCCTGATGGGTGGCTTCAATATTCCGAACGCTGATCTCGATTTGAGTGGTTTTCCCATCCTCGCCCGTGCACGTGCCATCCCACCTGGAGGAGTTGAGTTTACTTGCAGTCAGGGGAGGGGGGCTTTGATTGACTATGTGGTTGCATCGTGTGATATTGCTGACTACCGACGTGTTGCTACACTTGAAACCTCCCCGTTCAAGACTCATGCGCGCCTGGCAGTATCTCTGACTTGCACAGTGGTCGGGCAAGAACAGTGGCGGCGACAGCGCGCAGCCCCCTGTCCACCCTGCCTGGGGCCAGATCGCCCTTGGACCCATTATTTGGAGCAGCTCACTGATGACGATTTGTCTTCGCCCATTTTTTGAATCATAAGTCACTGCCGCGCGTGCTCGACCACATGTCGTCTATCTCCATGCAGCATTCGATTTGGAGCAAGGCCGCTGAGAAGATGCACCTCGCCAGGGTCTCTGATATGGACGTTGTCGCACTTGAAGGTTCTAGAGGGGCGCGCCCTAGTTTCAAATTCGGGACGGTTGAGCGACGGGGGGTTCGCGGAGAGTGCGTTCGTCAACCAGCGCTGTGTTTTTGGGCGCATGTGTCACAGAGGCTTTCGGAGTATCGGTTGTCGATCGCTAAGCGTTCGTGGAGTTCGTATTATAGCTGGAAGGGCACCTTAGCTGGCCTTGCTCCTCGAGCCGGCGAGCTCCACATTCCTGGTGATGTCCGAACCCCAGATTGGTGGTGGGCTCACTTTTCTAGCTTGCCCCAGGGTCTGGATGGTCTCAATGCCGTGCCCGATGCGACCAGCGCTACCCTCGCGAAGGGGTGGAGCGCCGCGCGCGAGGAAACTAAGGCCGGCATGAAGCAGCGGCTCCTCATGGCGCTGCCTCGAGGCGCTAAGCGAGCGCATTCCTGGCTTGAGTATGACCAAGGCGCTGACCTCGGCGTCCTGGCTGCATCAGCTGAGGCACACCAGCTGCCTGAGGAGATGACGAAATGCCGAGAGGACTTCCGGGGTAAATTTTGGAGGGCCGAAGGGGGGCAGCAGGAGCAGCTTTCTGGAGTTTTGGATGCCCTTCGACCTCGGGCTCGAGAAAATTTGGAGGATCTTGAGCCGTTGGGCCCTGGGGGTATTCAGAGAGCTGCGCGCCCTTTCCGTGAGGACACGGCCGTTGGCGTCGACCAGTGGCCGCGTTTGCTTATCTTCCTGCCGCCAGATGCTGTGCGGGGCTTCACCCGCCTCCTCAACGAGTGCGAGCGTCGGCGGATGCGGCCGACCCAGATCACGTTGGGCATCATTGCTTTGTTGCCTAAGTCCGCTGAGAGCGAGCGCCATGTCTGCAAGTGCCCCACCTTGAATGATGTGTATTGCAAGGCGCGTGGAAGCTACATTGAGAATTGGTCGCTCGCTCAGGTTAACCACTGGGGCACTGCAATTCGGGGGGCCTCCGCTCTGCAAGCTGCGCTTCGCCGAGAGCTCGGGCGCGAGATGGCCAGGTACCTTGGTTTGTGTTCTATTGGGGCCGACTGGCGCCTCGAGAAGTTTTGTGACACTGTCGATCCCTGTCGCCTGGCTGGACTCGCTGCCAAGATGAGATGCCCCCTGTTCCTTTTGAATTTGGGGACTGCGTTGCATGAGGCTCCTCGCATCTTTGAGGTCGAGGGTTTTTATTCTGACCTCATCCCCACTGGGATGGGCATCATGCCAGGTTGTGGCCAATCCATGCCGCGGATTAAAGTTTATCTATGTGATATACCGGACCAGGCCCATGCGTCGTTCCTGCCTGTGCGCATCAAGGGCAACGTGGATGACATCGCTCAGACGCAGCAAGGCACGCGCGAGGATATCCTCGCATCGTTCGCGCCTGCCGCAGTGCACTTGCGCCGCAGGCTGGAGGCGGCTGGCGCTTCCACCGCCGACCAGGGCGCGCTTGTCTGCCCCCGCAATGATCTCGGAGCCGAGGTTATTCTGAGGTTCATGCCGGTCAATCTTCCCATCAAGTGGCTCTTTAGGGCCGAGATCTGGGGGTCATGTCTTCTGCAGGCGTTCGTCGTCATGTGAGCAACCTTCGCCAGGGGCGTGCTACTGCCTACCGAAAGAGCAAGACGGTGCACTTTCTCGCTCGGCTCGTTGGCCGAGCGAGCAAGTTGTACAAACTTGGGGTCCGTGGGGCCATGAAGTCTTAGGGCTGCCCCCTAGGCTGGTCAAGTCCACGCGGGCTCAGGCCGCCGCGTGCTCTGGGTTGTGGGCCCCTGGTTCGCGCACCATTACTCTTTTGGGGTTGTTGGGGGATGCGCAGGATGACCTCCAGTTCAGCCTTCGTTATGAGCAGCTCAATGGATGGGCCATGGCTTGGACTGATCTTGACCACAAATCCCGCAGGTTGCGTGCTGATGTTTGGAATCAGATTTCCGCTAAGATGGATCAGACCAAGTACCGCGGGCAGATTGTTAAGGGGCCGACGTCGGCTACCATTGCTGTGCTTCGCGATCTAGGCTGGCAGGCCTTGTCGCCAGTGCATTGGCGCACGGAGGATTCTGATTTGAGGTTACATAAGAGGAGATTTCCCATTTCAGCTTTGGGTTTCTCTCTTGAGAACCTGTTCCTCCTTGTCCTAGGGCCAGGGCTCGAAGCGTTTTTGTGGTTTCTGGCATCGAAAGACAAGTTGATTTTACGCCTGTGCGTAGGTTTCTTGCCAAGCTCTCGCGTGACGGCGAGCATGCGTCTGCTGGGATCCTGCGAAATGTTTGTATCGCGGGATCGTGGCCTTGGGATCGATTGTGCGCCGCTGGTTATGTCTCTGCCAGCCGAGGGCTTTGCGGCAGGCGTGGGATTGCCCCTAGGACCCCGCTGCATAGATATCGGCAGTGCGAGTGCAATCGAGACATCCCTTCCCTGACCATGCTATTGAGATGACCCCCCTTCCCCCAGGGCCATCGCTGAAATTGATTAAGTGAGTTTCTGGTGCTGTGGTCTCCCGTCGTTGGGTGACTCCTTGGGCCTTCTCCCCCACCCCCCCACCCCCCAGCGCCTCGTCTGGGGGAGATGCATCGGGGGGGGGGGGGGGAGTTTGTTCGAGGGGGCGCGTGGGGAATGGATGGGTCAGGAGGCAAGTTTTCTAGAGACTGGAGGCTCAGGTGATGCGCCTGGTTGTTCGTTCACCTCGGACCTGACGGCAGGATCGACGCCAATAGGCGTGGATTTCTGCCGAGCGCGCGTCGCGTCAACCATCTCCGAGAGCCGAGTTATTTGCACTCATCGAGCTCTTGCGTGCTAGCGTTGGTGACGTGCGAGTATATTGTAGCTGTATGTTCGCCGTGAACGGTGTCAAGAAGAGCCTCCGAGCTAAACGTGAATCAAGTATGCCTGACCTCTGGGCTGAATGTCACCGCGCGCTGTCTGAACGAGGGGGGTCACTCCAACTGATCTGGAACAAGGGACACCCCACCCAAGCCCAGGCCGCCAGCATGTGTTTGTCTGATGTTAAGACTTATCTTAACAGAGTTGCTGATCGTTTCGCCGACTGGGCCGCTGAGAAGGCCCAGTTGAGCGAAGCCAGCGTTTTTCAGGTTTTGCGCGCCGATGGACTAGCTGTGCAGGTTTTGATGAGAATTTTGACAATTCAGCGCGAGGTTTTGTTTTCCTCGGATCGAGAGAGGGGTGGTCTCCGCGAGCCGCAGCGAACTCGCGGGATGGTCACCTCCCTGTCCGAGCGTACTTGCCGATTGCGAGATGCAGGGCACGACCCTGATGGCCGGAGGGACTGCATCAAGTGCAGGCGATGTGGGCTAGGCTAAAGCCTCAGAGGACAGCTCGCTGGTTTCTGGCCCATGTCGTGCAAGCCCAGATGTATCACCCAGCAGTGCGTCCAGCTGCTGGGGCCGCGGGTGGAGAGGGGCGAGTCTGGTCCCGGCCCTGTCCCTGATGCCCTGGGGCCGTCGGATCTGCGCGGGGGTGCCCTGGGCCACCCCCTGGCCGACCGCTGCCACCATTCCCACCGACTGTCGGTCCTGAGGGGTTTCTTGTTTTGCAGTATTTGTGGAGGACACGATTCTGTCGCGCCTCCCCGCGCCCTGAAAGTAGCGCGCGGTGAACCTTCGAAAGCGGGGCGAGAGGTGCTGTCGCGCTTGCAAAGGGCATTGCCACCAAAGTCTGGCACGTCGTTCCCCGACCGAGGCCGATGGTTGATTGTGCGGCCTGCCTAGAGCAGGACCCCCGCCTTATATAGAATTAGAATGAGAATTATCCTCTTCCTCCTCCTTCTCATCCTCCTCCTCCTGCTCCTGCTCCTGCTCCTCCTCCTCGCCCTCCTCCTCCTCCTCCTCCTCCCCCCCCTTTCAACCCGAGCATCGACCTCGCCGCCCTCGGGAACTGGGGCCGGCAACCGCGCTCCGGTACTTTCTGGGCAGGAACGGATACTGAGAAGTCCCCGAAAGCGGTCAGTGACGGGATGTCGGAGTGGCTCACCGCTGCTGGATATTCGCTCTCGCGTGTCCGGTTCAACGCGGATGCCCCTACGAAGCGCCATTCTTTCACTGTTCTTGGTGGTGACGCTGTGGCGCGCCCCATCGCGGAAGCTTTATACTAGGCGCTCAAGATCGGAAACGCGCGCCGCACCCTCACGGCCGTCGACGCTCACGGCTCCGCAGTCGCCATGTACATCAGCGCCGACAAATCGCCGAAGATGGTTCGCCAGGAGGTCCAGCTCAAACGCATGCTCCGCATCATCAACGAGCGCGCCCCCAAGAGCTGGAAGCTCCACCGCTCCAAAGGGTGCATCTCCCTCGGCGCGCTCGCGGTGGTCGGGCTCTTCGTCGGCGACTCCCCCGAGAGTGCCTCGCGCGTGCAGTGGAGCGGCGCTGCGCTTTCTGGCGGCATCCGCGTGGTGCTGCAGCGGCACGTGGTGGCCCACCTCGACTCCGCAGCCGGCAGCCCTCTGGTCTCCGTGACGTGGCTTTAGCACGAGGTGGGCGCCGTGGCCGACGTGCCCGACGGAAGAGGGGCTCCACGTAGCGAGCTGGAACACGCGCTGGCGCTGCTGGGTAAGCCCGGCCGGCGAGACGCCAAGCGACGCATTCTCCTTCTTCTTCTTCTTCGCCAGCGGGCGCTTGTCGCGCTGCAAGAAGCTAATGGCGACATCCGTGGGCTTGAGCTCCTCCTGGCGTCGACTCCGTGCCATTGCGAGGCGTTCCACTCCAAGGTCCCCAACGACACCGGTGCTGGTGGTGTTGGATTTCTGGTTCCATATGATCCGCGGGGAGATAATCTTCCTGTTGCTGATCGGCCAGTTCGCATTTTTCGTTCACTGGTGCATGGTCGGGTAGCGCGTCTTACAACTCAGTCTGCCGACGGCCGCTACGAGGTCGCGATCACCAACGCCCGCAATTACGGTCTGTCCGACGCGGACAGAGCCCTCGTCAGGGAAGCATGGGACTTCGAGGTGGCGCACGCCAAGGCGTCACCCGACACCAGAATCTTCATTGGCATTGGCGACTTCAACTTCTCGCAAGATCCACCTCGCAATCTTCGCCTTCCTCCCGTCATGGCGTTGCAAACACATAACATATATCATTATCAACCGACTTTCTGGAAGGAGTGGTTCAAGGAGCTAGTCGAGATTGCGTCTCCATCTACGACACATCGTTCAGTAGCACACCAGACGGAAGCAGCCATCGATAGATGTCTCATTTATTTTCCCGCGCGCGCTCTGGTCAACTGCGAAACCGTGCTGGTCGTGGATTCGGCGCCGATGGAGGCCGTCGCGCAGTTCGCCTGCGACCGCGCCGTTATCCAGCTTCAAGTGCGCCCGCGCCGCGAGCGACCGCCAGCTGAACGAGGCATCCCTGCATTCATATTCGACGCCGGCCATTGCCGGTGCTACATCCGCCAGCTTGTTGGCATGATCGACCTCGCCGCCCTCAGCACGACGGCGAAGTGGCGAGCCCTGAAAGAGATGAGGAGTGCCGCCAAAATTGCGAGGAACGCCATGCGGCGCATCCACCCCGACGCTCTCAAAGATAGTGAGAAAGAGGCCAGCAAGGAGGTGCAAGCTCTCACGCTCCGCTCTATCGCACGAGCAGTGCGGTGCCAAGATTGCGCCCTCGCCAGCAGACTGATCGCCGACGCGACGCTCGGAGCTACCCACTTATTGTCGACGCCTGCCGGAGTCCAAACGCAACGTCTGGGGACCGACCGAGGAAACGCACCGTTGGGGGCCGACGTGGCTGCGTCTCCCTGCGATCGCCCGACAGCTTCGCGGCCGCGATCGACGGGGTCAACGCCTCCATCAGCAACGAGTGCCGCGAACGGGCTGCGGCCAGGTCGCGCGAGGCGTACGCCACGCACCGCGCCGACATCGGCGACGAGTGGAAGCAGCGCGCCTCCCATGAGCGGAGGGAAAGGCGCCGTCTGGCAGCCTTTTTCCAAGAGGCTCATCCCGGTCGGCTTCGAGGTTCTTGCCGGCACGAGCCATGTCGCCACGAAGGACCCGATGGCCATGCACACTGCGATCCAAGAGCACTGGCCCCCGATCTTCGAAGCCAAACCTACTGACGAGGATGCCATCTCGAGGTACCTGGACCAGATCTCGCCCTGCGAGCCGCGCGTGGACCTCCCCCTCCCCGCCGCCGAGTCGCTCGAGCGGATGGCCAGGTGCGCTGGCGACTCCGCGCCGGGGCCAGACGGGCCCCCATACCGCGCCTGGTTGACGACGCCGGGCAGCTTCGACACTCTAGAGGAGCTTGGCCAGCAGCTGGCAGTGGGCATCAACGTCCCGCACGACCTCAATTATGCCCTTATGGCCATGTTGCCGAAGGGCGACGAGCCGCTGGGGAACTCCGAGTGCGTGCGGTCTCTTGACTTGCTGCGCCCGCTGAGCATGAATAATTCCGAGATCAAGTTGTTGGCTGGCTGCGCAAACCGCGCCCTTTCGAAAGTTGCGCAGATGACAGCTGTCGAACAGCAAGGCTTCGTGGTGGGACGGCAGTTTCTCAATCATTTTGTCGACGTGGACGCAGAGGCCAGGCGCTTGCCCATGCTTCCCGGAGCCAGCGCGGACCGCCCTATCTTCATGAGCATGGACATCGCGGCGACCTTCCCGAGCCTACGCCGCCAGTGGATGCGGCAGGTACTGCGCCGTAGTGGAGTTCGAGGCAGCACGTTCACCTTCCTGACCTCGCGTTACCACTTCCCGCTGATATTTCAGGAGTTGGGCGGGGAGCGGCGCCCCTTGCTGATTGCGACTTCCGGCGTTGCCCGGGGCTGTCCGTTGTCGGGGACCATCTGGGCCATCGTGTTTGACCCGCTGGTGAGGAGCATATCGCGTGAGCTCCGACGGCTGCACAGAGGCCTGCCTCGAGCTTGTGCGGATGATCTCGGTGTGATTTTGGATGCCCTCCACGACCTCGCCACCCTCGTCCCACACCTGATCGCGGCAGAGACTCTGGCGGGCTTCAAGCTCCAGGCGAAAAAGTGCGTGATTGTCCCTGTCTGGACACTTCCGCGTCCGTCTCTCGTCGAAGAGTTCCGCGCCTACTTGTCGTCGGTGCACGCCCCGTGGCGGGATTTCAAAACCGAGGCGATGGCGAAGTTATTGGGCGTCTTCATAGGGCCTGGGGCCACGCGCGAGATTCAATGGATTGGCCCCGGTCTGAAATAGTGGGAGCGTTCACAGTTACTGGGGACTTTCGCGCGCCTCTGCAGGTGGGCATTAAGATTCATAATGCCGCGGCGATCGCCACGCTGAGCTACGTGGGCCAGCTGTTCCCCCCGTTTTGCAAGATGCTGGGACGCGAGATCTTCGCGATTCACATAGTCCTGCGAGCCGCCCCCTCCAGCTTCACCAAGGCCGATTTTTTTCGTTTGGTGGGTGGGGGGGCTTTGCTGTGCCGCAGAGCGCGGAGGTGCATCTAGCGGCGACGTTGCGGAGAGCGGCGACGTCCACCATGCGGGGACGGCGAGCTGCGCACGGTGCTCTCGAGGCGACCGCGCAGGACAACCTGGAAGCGACTCGCTTCGCAGCCGGCAAATGGCGCGCACCGTACTGGGCCGACGAGCGCTCGATCACGTACAACCTCTTCCACGCGATCGTCGGTGGCGACTTCGTGAAGGGGAAGGGCTCGGTGCACAAGCTGCGCGCTCGTGCGCATGGCGGCGTTGGGGATGCCGATTCCTTTCTCCGCCGCGCCCACCGCGTTGCAGCCGTGCGTGGCAAGCGAGCGTTGACCGCCCGCGAGCTGAAACGCAACGTCCGGGAACCAGCAGCGGAAATGCACAGCCCGGGGACCGACGTGAATGCTGCGGATCCCAGCTCCATCGGGAAGACGACGAGCCCCCAGCAGGTATATATGCGCGTTTTGAATAGCCACTTCTACCCCGACGAGTTCTAGCTGACCGTCCGCAAAAGGCTTCAGGCTTGGTTCGGTATTCAATTCCATATCCCTGCTGATCTTCGGCGTCGTTGGCGCGCTGCTCGCGAGGTCTTGCAACGGCCCCCACCGTCTGGAGTATGGCCGGTACTGAAAACATTGGCGGGGAGTTGGATTACTTCGTTTCGCATGCACGTGGTGCCAGAACAGAAAACATGCCGATTCAATTGCTACTAGTGCGACGACTCCATTGACCACTACCTCCGCTGCCGCGCATTCTGGCACCTTGTGGCGCTGCCCCGTGGTGTGCTTCATGCAGATACCCTTGTTCGGCTCGGACTCGGATCAGAGCATCAACACCGTGGGGAAAACGCTCGATTGGACTGCCTGGCACGCGTGGCCGTGATGTTCCGCTTGTATCACCACTTCGAAGATTACGACATTCAGAGTTACGACGCACATGCCGCTGCTATCCCGGCAGTTCGTCCTGCCCTGAGGCTTCGCGAGAGCCTGACGGGTGGCGCGGGGACATCGGCGGCATAATCTGGAGCGTCTCTCATGGGGACGTTCGCTCCTCCCCCCTTAAAAAGCAGGACGAGCCCTTCTCCGTGCAGCCAGAGCAACCGTGAGCTGTATGCCGCAGTGAAGCCCCAGGCCACGACTTGGGATGAGAAGCGGGCCCCAGGGAAGCTGTCGGGGTTCATCAGCGGAGAGCCGGCGGAGTCAGGAGGGCGGCTCGCCGACGGCAGAACGGCGGGAGGGGGGCGGAATTAGGTCAGAGCGAGACATCATCATTTTGGGGGTCAGGGGCTTTGGATTGGCCACGTGTCACATGTACCATTCAGCGATCGAGGGCCTCCTCCTTCGTTGTCCTCTTCTCTACCCCCCTTATCCTTACCCCAGCTCCCCAGGAGAGCGATCTGTCGCAGTTCAGTCCTGCGCGCTACAGCCCGCAAGTGTGTGAGACAGTCGATAGACGTTACGTACGTTCTTCCATGGTCTGCCCTTGCTTGTCGAGCCATGGCTTGGACATGCGTTTCCGGCTCAGCCGGTGTGTTGTGCAGGAACAAAGCTGCTGATCGCGCATACGCCGTGCATCGGCCGTGGAACCAATTTGGTGGTTTGATCACGGCATTGCATGTGCCCGTTCAATTTGCGAATGGGATGCTCAAGATGTTACGCGGACGATCTCAGTTTGCCCGATATCGTCGCGATGCGATTTGCGATGCGGATGCGATAGATTCACGTGAAGCAGCGACGTACGATTGGGAACGCGTGCGAGCCATGCGATGTTGGAACTTCGTGGGTGGACGGAAGAGAGGGAGGCTGAACAACCTGGACGAAACCCTATAAAAAAGGGGAGGCAAGAGGGATGCGTGGTCAGAAAAGAGGGCAGTTGAACTCTGGCACGGACTCCATGCGTTTTTGATCACGACGTCGATCCCCAGGTTTCTCGACTATTTGGCAGGGGCCCACATCTCGTTCTGAGAAGTGCTTGCCGGTCCTGGGGCTGGGCGAGAGCCTCCAGAGGCAGAAGTCGGCGAGCAAAATTTATGGCTTGATTTCTGTCCAG